GCTGTCTTGGTGGGAGGGGGCGCCCCGCTCAGCTGGGGCCTCGCCCCGCCCGGGAGGGGTTGTCTTTGTTTCGGGGATGCATCTTGGGGTCCTCTAGAGCCAGAGAGGGCACCTCAGGATCGGATCCTGGTGGAGCTGGGGAGGAGGCTTCGGGGTCCCCTCCTCAGTCCGGGCAGGTGCCGCAGGTGAGGCTTCTCCAGGCCAGGTATGTGTGTGGGGCTGTTACGGGCACCCTGGGGAGGCACCCCAGAAGGCCAGGGGTCCAGATGGGGCCCAACCCTGAGAGCGGTGATTTTAGGGTTGCAGAGTGTCACCGGGTAGTCCCCTGGGGTCCTTATACCCAGCCCCCTGAGCATCCTGGCTTTGCAGCTGCTAGCCGGGGGTGGGCTTTCCTGGGTGCTAAGCCCCTTAAGGAGCCAGCTACCCCTGCAGCCCTACACCTGCAGGAGAGATGGGGCGTGGAGACCCCAGGGCTCCCTCTGACCCAGTCCCTGGCTCTGCCTCTCCAGCGCTGAGTCAGCAGTGCTGAATCAGCAGAAGGGGGGGTCCCTTCCTGCTTGGCAGGGGCTGAGGGTGTCAGGACCCCAGGTGGTGTGGGATCCTTGGGAGGCTGTTGGCTGGGTGACCTTGAACCTGCTTCCTCCTGAGCCTCCTCCACTTCCCATGTGGGCAGTGGGAGCTTGGGCGGGGTCTGCACCTGGCCTGCATATCCAGCTGTGAGGGTGGGGAGCTGTTAGGAGCTGCTGTGTCCAGGTGAGCAGGAACAGGATTTGGAATCTGTGCCCAGGGTGAGGTTGGGGCTCCACTGGGGAGTGCTGGCCTCCAGCTCTGCAGCTGTGTGTGTATGTGAGACTGCTAGGGGGATCTCAGCACCCCCATCGGCTGCCCCAAATCAAAGCAGAGAGGGCTGGACAAGGCCTTGCCACCATCTTTCTGTGATGTCCCCTTGCAGCCCCTGAGAAATAGATTATGGACTTTCAGTGGCCCTGAGGTCAGGGCCGGGCCTGGAAGCTGCCGGTCTGGTTCCTGTGTCCTGGCCCCCTTCCCCTCCCACTCCTGGGCCATGCCCCACCTGATGATCCAGCCTCAGTTTCCCTAGCTGTTGGCTTCCATCTTCAGAAGCGCTCTTCTCAGAACATTCGAGGGTCTCAGGCTGGTGGAGATGTCCAAGGGATGTGTGTTCTCTCCCCTTCTCCTAAGGGAAGGCCGGAGTGGGGCCAAGCCCGGCCAGGTTGGAGGGGTGACCAGCTGTTTCCATTGCTGACCGTAGCTGCTGCTGGTCATGGCGGCCCGGCTACGGTCAGGTCCTGCACTTAGCAATCCTTTTATACAAATAGGTAAACAGGACCAGAGAGGCAGCCACTGGCCCAAGGTCACACAGCTAGGGTTTGGGTGCTGACTGCTGTCCTGCACAAACCAGTCCAGGAAGGTGGGGGCCAAGGGACGCACTTTCTGGAGCCTGGCTAGGCCTTGCAGGATCGTGGGAGAGGCCAGAGGTGTGGAGGGAGACATGGGGTCTGGGAGAGGCCAGTTCCTTCTGTCCGGGCTGTCACCCCTACCTGATAGGGGCCTGATAAGCCGCTCCTGCGTCAGAGCCCAGTCGCTTGGCTCCCAGGAGGGCCGGGGTCAGGCGGGGCAGTGGGCAGAGCTGTCAGGCCTGTGCTGCTGGGGTCTCAGGCGGCGTGACCTGAGGCCACAGTTGGGGAGACTGAGGGATGAGAACCCCACCAGGGAGGGACGCAGGGCACTGCCAGCAACAGGTGTCCAGATGGGGAAACTGAGGCTTGGGTGGGAGCCAACCCTTCATGCTGTTTCTAGAAATTCCCGTTCCCTGGAATTCCTGGGCCAGCTGTGGATCAGTAACAGGCTGGGGATGCAGTAGGAGAGAGAGAGAGGGAGAGGGAGAGGAAGAGAGAGAGGGAGAGGCGGAGCTGGGGTGTGGGAGAGGCCGTTGGAGGGGCCGAGGGGGCACTGGCTGTGAGCCCAGGTGTCAGCCCCACAGACTTGGTGGGAATCCTGGCTCTGCTGCCCCATCTGTTCGTTCTGAAGATCTCTGCAGGGACAGCTCCAGGCTGGGGGTGGGCGGCGGCTCTCCCCCGAGAGCTCACAGCTTGCAAGTTGTGGAGAGGCGGGAGACAGGGGCGAAACATATAGAGAAACAGGCAGCAAGATGAGTTGGGGCACTCTGGATTCTGTTTGTTTATTCATTTATTGATTGAGATGGGGTTTTGGTATAGTGCTCAGCTTGGCCTCGAACTCTGTGACCATCCTGCCTCAACCTACCAAATAGCTGGGACTATGCCACTTGCCTATGTTGGAGGGTTAATTTAGATGGGACAATAGTAGTCAGGGTAGTCAGGGATGGCCCCTATGAGGAGCTGACTTTTGGCCTCAGGCTTGAGAGGCCAGCTGGACAGTTTGCTGGTGACTACTATTATGAAGGGGGGTCAGTGAGCTGGCTTTGGTTGACCTGGTACTCATGCCTGCAGAAGGGGAGGCAGCACACCTCTTAGTGGTTCAGTCTTGAGGTCTGGATCCCCTGGTCTGTGTCCGCAGGGCCACTCTGGGGGGGCCGGGGTTACCCACGACCTAACCCTCCACCCCACAGGTCCCAGGAAGTTTGTGTTAACATTATGCCTGACTGACAGAGCAGGGAAACTGAGGCCTGGAGGGGGAAAGGACTTGCCCCACTAGGGGTGGCACACAAGCTTGACTGCTGCTGTGGGCTTTCTGGGGCCAGGACTCCCAGCCTCTGGCTCCTGCCTTAGGGTCCCCCTCCAGTGGCGGGAAACCCAGAGTGCAAAGGTGGGGTGGGTCAGGCACACAGCAGGGGGATGGCCCCGGGTGGCGGTGACATCTCCGCTGCTGCCCTCTAAGTCCTGCTTCTACGGTGCACTTGCTGTGTGACCCCAGGCCAGGCCCCAGCCCTCTCTGGGCCTCTGCCCTGAGCCGAACACTAAGTGTGCGGTGGGCCCCTCGCTCCCACAGGTCTGGAAGCAGCGACCCCTACTGCCTGGTGAAGGTGGATGATGAGGTGGTGGCCAGGTGAGGAGGGCGCTGGGGGCGGGACAGGAACTCACCTTTCAAAGAGGACCTGGGACTGGGGGAGGGCGCAGCTTGCCCGTTCTGCCCGCTGAAGGCAGCGGCCACGTCCCAGCTCTCGGATGTGACGCTGGGTCTGCCGCCTGCTGTCCCCATGCAGCCCCCTCTGGACCCACGAAGTCCCTGCCGCTCCCTGGGCTGACTCAGCGCTGCCAGCCCGCGCCTCCCTCCCGCA